TGTTAGCCAGGCATGGGAGAAAGGTCAATATAATAAAAATGATAACTATATATAAATGTATAATGTTATGAGATTTAAGCTATTTCGTATAAACATTTATGTTTTCATATTATAATTTGTGTTCATTCTAGAATGAAAGAGGCATAATTTGTTTATTTCCTAATTTTTTATGGTGGTTGCGAGATCAGTCAAATTTACCGAACCTGTATAGAGATTAATTACTGAAAATAACAGGTAAAATATAAAGTTTTTTCTTATGAAATGTTTGATAACTATTTGGACATTATAAAGATTTTGCATGCAAAATTCCAAAATTTTCTGATTCTTAAAAGAATTTTTAATATTAAAATGAAAATTACTTTGCTATCATATGATAGACAGGCAAGATGTGAAAAGAAAAAAAAAGGCATGAGAAAAACATTGCTTTACAAACCTTAAGACTTAATAAAAAAATTAGATATTTTGCGTATGAAAGCACGGTGATGTTTACTGATAAACTGATAAATTTTGTTAACATTCGCTTACTAATTTAAAAGTTATAGCATGAAAACTATAACAAACATAAAATTGTTACGAGGTCGTTCCCAGGGACTGAGCCCGACCTGAAAGAATTAAGTAGTTAAGTGAGCAGTGAAAACAATTTTGTTTTATTGTTGATACAATATTCAAAATATAGAAGTGCAGAAGTTAATGGGGAATTGAACTGAAAATCTCAAATCATATAAACACCTAGACAGTACAGATGAAATGAGATAGATCTGTACTGATACTTTTAATTTAAGTTTAATTCAAAGTGCAAAACAGAAGCTACTGTAAATTATTGTGATGAACAAAATTTTGTTGAACTACTTCGTTATGACAAAAATGTGTACTCATATCACTATATTCCTAACATAAATCCTTAATAAATGTACAAATAAAATATACCTGTGGCTACCTTTTGCACATTTACAAAGTATCTAAAGGTATCACAAAAATGTTTACTTGATTATTTATCAGTATCGTTAGAAAACCTTAAGATATTTAAACACATGTAGCTAGTGTAATGTTGAGGTAATTATTTAATTTTTGGTTATATTGTTTTTTAATAAGGAATTAATAATCTACGTGGAATTTTAATTTTTTCATAAACTGAAATAAAGTTTTGTGTATGCTATATTATATTGTTATCATACAGAATTATTTTTTCCTTAGGATTTCAATAAAATTATTTTCTGTTACAGATATGTCAAATAAGAATAGAAGAGAAATTATCAATTGTGATGTCACTCAAGAAACTCCTAAATCGGAAGTCATTAACAATGTGCCATTTGCACATACTACAAAAGAGAGATTTGAAAACAAATCAACAGAGAGCAGACCTCAAGAGCCAATATATCAGGATGTAAGTAACTTTTGCTCTTATATCTATTTATCAGGTATTGTTCCTCATTTCATGAGTAGTGAAATAGTTTTGTTTTTGTACAAGATTGAGAAAACTACACTAATCATTTTGATGGTCATCAACTTTTACTAACCATAGCCAGTAGAGCTAGGTGATTAACTCAATTAAGTGATGAGCATTGATTACATCGCCTAGTATCACTTCAAATAATTAATTTTTCATCCAAATTAAATCAGTTAATGTCACAAAATTAGTGTTCCCTTAATTACTGCTTTTGATTATTCCAACTATTCAAGTAATCAAAATATTGCCATTATAATTTTCAATTAATTCAAAGTTGTTCAACTTACTCGATTAGTGTCATGATTTCTGAAAATAATCAACTAATCAAAATTAATATTTCGAATTATTACTAATTTTGATTATTCCAACTATCTGAGTCTCATTTGAGAATAATTGATTTGTTGAATGCAATCAATTAATGAGCCCCTAATTCCACTAATTCTTTAGCTCTAAATAAAGTTTTTAAATTTTCAGAAAAGACATAAATAAGATGTAAGGTAAAAGAAAAAAGAGCAATATGAACTGAAAAATTCTGCCATAGTATAATGGAAATTATCTGAAGATCAAATAAAAAAATAAAGATTTTCTGTTATACCTTAGCATATGAACATTTATAATATGGTGGTTTGTTTCTTTTGATTATAGAGCTGGATTTGACCTAGTGGTTAACATATTGAACTGTGAATCAGAGTTTCCATGGTTTATATCCCAATGCTTCACAATCACGCTTCATACCTTAGGGTCATGAATGTGTTATAAGAGCAGGTTAGAGTAATACATGAGCTGGTGGTGGGTACTGTTGTAGTGTTGTGCAAATATCTAAAACAAAGAAATTTTTAATTATAACTTTCATTTTTGATAATAATCTTAATGTCTTATGGTTTCAATCATAATGGGATCTGATATTGCACCAGCTTGGTCCTGCAAGACATATGTTCTACTCCCCTAACTTTTTTTGTTTGTTGACTTTCATGCAAATCTACTTGAGGGCTATCTGCAATAGCCTTCCCCCAATTTAAAGGTGCTAAACTAGAGGAAAGGCAATCAGTCAACATCACCCACCACCTCTTGGACTTCTCTTTACAATCAAAAGTGAAATTGACCATCACATTATAGTGTCTCCAGGGCTAAAAGGGTGAACATGTTTGATGGCTGAATATGAACCTGTGACTCACAGATTGCAAGTCAAGTGCTCTAACTACCAATCCAAGACAGGCCTACATAACCTTTAGTTGTCATGCTGACATATTACCTTGAACACTTCATGTAGAATTGAGCTTAATATAGTTTATCAAGAGAGTCATAGGTAGTGGAAGATAAGTTTTGAATTACCACAAGTGATTTCATTGCAAGTACACAAACGTTTTATAATTAAATGCTTCACCAGTGCATATAGTGTTTGGTTATATATATATATATATTTGCTTCTTTTGCAGAAACTGATTTAGTGATAAGATAAAGAAGACCAGGATTTATAACAAGGTTGTGTGTAATAGTGAAATGAAGTTTCAAGACATCTGAAAAAGCTGTGTATGCTACCCTGATGGGTTGATGAAACATACTGAAATATTTACAAATTAGATAAGTGCAGATGCAAAGTTAACCAGTCAACAGTCTGCAGATATCCAAGTTATCGTGATCATTTTCGGTTGTGCCATACAGATACCAACAGAGAGTGTACAGTTTGTTTTAGGAAAATACTGTTTTACCTAGATATTACTGTAACTTACAAATCTTTTGGGAGTTACTCAACAAGAACTTATTTCTTAGTGAACATTTAGTAAATGGATAAAGTATAAATTTTGACCTTTGGCACAATGTTTCTAACTTGTGTAAAGATTTTAAAGAAATTTGTTAGATTTCATAGAGAACAGAAAAACAAACTTTGTCTCTCATCTGTCATTGTTCCATAAATGTATGTTAAATGTTGATGCTCGAAAAGGTATGTCAAGTTAACCTAGAGACAAGCCGTTAACATATCTGAAACATGCAGCCAAGAAGGGCTTAGTGAATAGTGCTCAAAGTTGTGGGATTGGTTTAATTATAATTTCAGAATACAAAGAACAGTGTCTGCAACAACTGTGGATTGGAGCAAAAGTGTATAAATAGTCTATTGATGTTGTCTCTCATTGTAAGAATAAGAAATATAAATGCCAGATATCAACAGTACCTGTAAGTAATTGTGTTGTACGAATAAATCTTATATGTACTGAATGTTAAGACATCATTCGTTATGAGCAGAAAAAACAATAGGATAAAACAAAATATTCTGTGATTTATTTACTGTGTTGAATATAATTTCAAAGAAAACTGTCAGCAATACAATAAACTCCAAACAATTTAATATTTGTGCTTTTTTTGAACTGTTTATAATCTGCAGTGTGTGTGTGTGTGTATAGACACACATGCATATATATATATATATATTATGTATTATGAATGTGTGTTTGCATGTGTGCCTGTGTATAATGGGTACATGCACTGTAAATGGCCTTCATTTAGGTCTTTATGTATAATATGAGCCATATCAGCATTTTAGCTGGAATTGCTTATACAACAGTAACAAAAGAATACTGTTGAGTATTGAACTTGTTACTGGGAAAACAGAAGATTTATAAAACATGCTTAACAGTTTAAAACAAGAAATTAGATATTCATGCCACTTAAGCATTTATAAAGTCCTATAAATATAATGGTTAAAGCCAGAATTCAAACTTATATGAAGGGTGTTTACACTGCATTGTGCTTTATCTCATGTAGAAAAAAATTACCCTTTTTTATGTAAATATAAAGTAAATCTATCCCAATTTTAATGAAATGATTGCAAGTTAAAATAGCTGACAATTTTTACATTTTCATAAATGTTTGTTTAGGAGTGTAGAGATATTTAATTGATAATTACTTTGTAAAATTGATTGCACTGGAATGTACAGCATTTTGAAAAATAAATAAATGGTCATCAGATTGTTAATTTGGTTTAAAACACTACCAAAAAGTTCAGTTCTTAGATTTTATAAATTCCAACACAGTAATAATTGTTTTGAAGTTGTCAACCCTTGAAATTCTAACAATATACGATGAATAACTATATTTAATGTTTGAAGCAATAGTGAAAACAAAAGTAAGTTTGTTCACACCTTTGGTTTTCTTTTGATAAATAAATTGCACTGTTGATTTTAAATGGCATTTCCACCTTCCTCAAAATTTTTAATCCGATTGTTTTGGTGTAGTGACTTAGATCCTATATAACTTCTCCTCTACCCAGAAACAGTAGAGGAATATAAACAGTATAACAAAACCATACACACTTCAGTTTGCCAAATTAAGTTGAATTTGTCAGATTAGGTAGGCTATTTAACTTTAGTTGGCTACAGAGGACATTTTGAAGTTATCCAGTTTTGTGCTGACATTACTGATAATTTTGAATACTGTATAATTTATGAACATTTACATTGTGTTTGTGTGTATGAAATAGATTAGAAAAGATAAGTAAACCACTTATAAAGCTGGAACTTATTTTACAATGAAATTTAGGGCTGTTTATATTAAAAAGTTGATGGCATTTATTACCTACACTGTAACTGCATTGTTTTCTCCAACAACTGCACAAGACATCATATGTATAAAAGTTATTCTAATTAATTAGCTCATTCAGGATGGAGCCGATTGTACATTTTATTATGGAATTTGAAAACAGACTTGTTTGTAAGTTATCAGTTGTCTTTTCATACAAAAGTTTTAAGGGGACTGCATAATGAAGTGGCCGCCTTATTTAGTAAAGGTTATCTACTTATTGATTTGCTTTAATCTATCTTTGTTAAATATATAAAAATAAAATAAAACCAAAAAAATAACAATAACTAACTTTTACTAGTTATGAACTAACTTGATTATCTTGTGAAATGTAATATAGTCTAATATTTTCCATAGTTTCAGATTCATCAATTTTATGTGTTTGTGAATTACCCACTGAGACATAAACGTTGTAATTATACCACTATGATTTTCTAGTTTATGGAATTATTTTGTCACTTTAATACCCTCTGTTGACTAAGCTTTAATACTGATTATCACAAAGATAGTTTTAGACATTCTTAAGTAATAGATTTTAGGTATAAACATAGTCTGTAACTCAAAATTTGATACAATTGTAGACTTAATGGGGTTTGTTTTCTCTCTGCTTTTAATATTATTCTCGACACGTGCTATGCTTTATGCTTATCAAAACTGATAAAACGTGCCACGTTTGAAGAAAGCAAACAAAAACGACCGAATGTTTGACATTTCATACTGTATTATTAAACAATAAAACAATGATACCCAGAACATTCAATCACTTCTTTAAAACTCAGCTTTAATATTTGTTTTTCTCTATTTCTGCCATCGACTGAGACTGTCTGGTACTTCCGTCCAATAACTTTAACTCTCATAAACCTTAACACCAAGTTCTCAAATTCATTTCAGAACCATAAATGCGAGTTGTATGTATAATAGATCCATATTTCCCTTCGTACATGTCCACAGTAATTATCATATGATTTAACTGCCATAAAATTGTGTTCCACTAGCGCCACATTAGTGAGAATGTATTACTTTCAGCTTCAGTTGCGGCCCGGCATGGCCAGGTGGTTATGGCACTCGACTCGCAATCTGAGGGTCGCGGGTTCGAATCCCCGTCCCACCAAACATGCTCGCCCTTTCAGCC